TTTGAGTTCTTTGTAAATTCTTGATATCAGCCCTTTGTCAGATGGGTAGACTGCGAAAATTTTTTCCCATTCTGTTGGTTGCCGATCTGCTCTAGTGACTGTTTCTTTTGCTGTGCAGAAGCTGTGGAGTTTCATTAGGTCCCATTTGTCTATTTTGGCTTTTGTTGCCAATGCTTTTGGTGTTTTGTTCATGAAGTCCTTGCCTACTCCTATGTCCTGGATAGTTTTGCCTAGATTTCCTTCTAGGGTTTTTATGGTGCCAGATCTTATGTTTAAGTCTTTAATCCATCTGGAGTTAATTTTAGTGTAAGGTGTCAGGAAGGGCGATCATTAAAAAATCTGGAGACAACAGATGCTGGAGAGGATGTGGAGAAAAAGGAACACTTTTACACTGTTGGTGGGAGTGTAAATTAGTTCAACCATTGTGGAAGACAGTGTGGCGATTCCTCAAGGCCTTAGAAATAGAAATTCCATTTGACCCAGCAATCCCATTACTGGGTATATATCCAAAAGACTATAAATCGTTCTACTATAAGGACACATGTACACGAATGTTCATTGCAGCACTGTTTACAATAGCAAAGACCTGGAATCAACCCAAATGCCCACTGATAATAGACTGGATTGGGAAAATGTGGCACATATACACCATGGAATATTATGCAGCAATCAGAAATGATGAGTTTGTGTCGTTTGTAGGGACATGGATGAATCTGGAGAACATCATCCTCAGCAAACTGACACAACAGAAAATGAAACACCTCATGTTCTCACTCATAGGTGGGTGATGAAAAATGAGAACACATGGACACAGAAAGGGGAGTACTAAACACTGGGGTCTATTGTGGGGAACAGGGGAGGGCCAGTGAGATGGGGAGGTGGGGAGGGATAGCCTGGGGAGAAACGCCAAATGTGGGTGAAGGGGAGAAGAAAAGCAAAGCACACTGCCATGTGTGTACATACGCAACTCTCTTGCATGCTCTGCTCATGTACCCCAAAACCTAAAATCCAATAAAAAATTTAAAAAAAAAAGTGAGTTTTCCTTGATAAAGGACCCTGAAATACCATAACAAGAAATAATAGTGGTGATTCCTTCAGTTTTTCCTCAAACAGACTTGGGAACTTTACCTGGTATAACTAGGAAAGGGAAAACCCTAGACTCTCAATATCTTTTGGATAAAAGGTCCAAGTTATGAAAATGCCATCATCCTGTTAGAGTAGAGGTATATAGGGGTCAGGTAATAAATGGATTCCTGGTACTGGCCTGTCTCACAATGGGTCCATTGCATCTAAAAGTTCACCCAGTATTAACTTCCCTAGTTTCTGAACATGTATTTAGAGTGGGCTTATATGCAATCAGCAGAATCCTCAACTTAATTTCTTGACCTATGGAGTAAAAGCAATTATAATAATAATGTTTTCATACTAGCCTAGAGCCATATGGAGCTGGCTAGTCAGAATTGGTCTTATTGAACCCAGAACAGAATTTTCCAGGTGGGCTTCCTGATATATGAGAGCTGTTGAAAAAGTTCACAGAAAAATTGTTATGAAGAAATTATGCATAGAATTGAATTATTTTGGTTTAGAATAAACTCATACTAACTTGTTATAACTTATATGAACAGTATGTAATTTGAGGATAAGAAAAAGTTTGAAATTTCAAAGATTCACTATCAGAGCAAAATGTATTCTGTTAAAATTGAAGCAAGAACAAATAGCAAATTTATGGGGCAGCTTGGGTAGAAGAATGGTGAAATCATTATTGCTTTACAAAAATTTAATGAGAACAATATCCTAAATAAATCAGCAATTTTCAAACAGATAAATCATTTTAAGAAAGGACAGGTTGATTTTGAAAATGAAGCCCATAGTGGCAAACCATCCACATTAATCTGTGAGGAAAAACTCATCTAGTCCATGCCCTAAATAAAGAGGACAAACAATTAACAGTACAAATAATGGCCAACATCACTGATGTCTCAACAGGTTCAGCTTATACAATTCTGACTAAAATATTAAATTCTAACAAACTTTTCCCTCAATGGGTGCCAAAACCAGATGAGCTGCAGACAAGAGTGGAACTTTCAATGGAAATTTTAAACAAGTGGACTCAAATCCTGAAGCATTTTTTCAAAGAATTGTCATGAAATAAAACATGACTTTAATTGTATGATCACGAAGACAAAGCACGATCAAACCAATGGTTACTAAGAAGTGGGCGTGGTCAGTCAAAGCAAAGCAGACTAGTCAAGAGCAAAGGTAATGACAACAGCTTTTTCGGAATTCTTAAGTCGTTTTGCTTGTTGATTTAGTAGAGGGCTAAAGAATGATAACATCTGTTTCTTATGAGAGTATTTTGAAAAAGCTAGACAAAACTTTAGCAGAAAAATACCCAGGAAAGCTTCACCAGAGTTATTCTCCACCACAATTGCGCTCCCGCTCATTCCTTTTATTAAACAAGGGCAGTTTTGCAAGAGTTTCGATGGGAAATTATTAGGCAATGACCTTACAGTCATGATTCGGTTTCTGACTTCTTTTCATTTCCTAATCTTAAAAAAATCTGTAAAAGGCATTTATTTTTCTTCAGTTAATAATTAGAAATGATGACTGGGTGTGGTGGCTCAGGCCTGTAATCCCAGTACTTTGGGAGGCCCAGCAAGAGGATCATTTGAAGTCAGACCAGCCTGGCCAACATGGTAAAAACCTGTCTCTACTAAAAATACAAAAATTAGCTGGGCATGATGGCACACACCTGTAATCCCAGCTACTTGGGAGGCTGAATCAGGAGAGTCACTTGAACCCAGGAGGCGGAGGTTGCAGTGAGCCAAGATTACACCACTGTGCTCCAGCCTGGATGAAAGAGCAAGACTCCATCTCAAAATAATAATAATAATAGGCCGGGTGCGGTGGCTCAAGCCTGTAATCCTAGCACTTTGGGAGGCCGAGGCGGGTGGAACACGAGGTCAAGAGATCGAGACCATCCTGGTCAACATGGTGAAACCCCTTCTCTACAAAAAATTAGCTGGACATGGTGGCGCGTGCCTGTAATCCCAGCTACTCAGGAGGCTGAGGCAGGAGAATTGCCGGAACCCAGGAGGCGGAGGTTGCAGTGAGCCGAGGTGGCGCCATTGCACTCCAGCCTGGGTAACAAGAGCGAAACTCCGTCTCAAAAAAAAAAAAATAATAATAATAATAATAAATGACTGCATTGAGGTGGTTAAATTTCCATGACCTTCAGTTTTCAGGAATAAACTAAATGGCCGGTATGATTGCTTACTAAGGTGTCCTGAATTTGATGGAGCTTATGGTAAGAAATAATGTTTACATATTTATTTTCATCTTTTAATTCAAATTTTCCACAAACTTTTCAAAATCACTTCATAGGTGTCTATTGTAAAATATAGTAATCTGACCCAGACACGTTATTTAATCCTTAATTTCTCTCAATTATTTTGAGTAAAAATCTATTTGTCCGTGAATATCAAGAAATAGTATATCACATGGTTGTTTGGAAGTCTAACTAGAAATTACTTATCAAGAACTGTAAAGGGTCTGAGATTTCACCCTACTTTCAAGCTAACAAGTTAACCTCTTATAGTTTCATGAATGCTGGCAGAAGACATGATGTTTTAGGTGAAAAATTGCATTATTCTTGTCAGTCAGCACCTTGGAGGTTGATTTAGGTTGTCCAAAGAAGATCCCTATCATTGGAAGCTTGGGTGCTCACTGGAAGCTTGGAATTACTAAAAGTGGTTCTAGTAGATCCTTAGAAACATGAGCCTGCAATCTCTATGTGGATAAAAGTAGAGAAGAGATCTGAAGAAACTGTGAAAGCAATGCTGCTTTTAAATCTCATTTTACCTTCAGAGTTGAGAGTTGATAGTGGAGTGTTCTACCCAGATGGAAAAATAGGTGAAAAAACACATCATGACCAGAATGCTTCTTCGGTGTGCAAAACAACTAGTTTAGAGGAAGATGTGGTGGTGTAAGGAGGTTCCAGGACTTGGATGAGCTGAAAGGAGATTATTATTTTAGAAATCTTGAAGGGCAGGAAGGAAAAGTAAGAGAATGGGCCCTAGTAGTCAGGGATTTAACAACATAATTGAGCACTGTGTTTGAAAGACAAGATGATACTTTCAGTGAATAAGAAACTGTAGTTTCTGATCCAGAAGAATCAGAAGCATGATTCTTGATGGAGCTGGTCAAGTCAAGCAGTTAAAGTAGATAGGATAGTGGCCAAAAGAATAATGCCAGGATGGGAAAGCAGGGTTTGCTTGGAAGGGGTGGTTTTATGGAGGAGAAGATAGGAAGGGATATTTTAAAAGCTCTACCTTAATTCATAGGTGATTGATTCTGTTTTTAAACTGTTTAGGTCATAACCTGTGTTTCAGCCATAATAATTGGATTTTTGCTTGATTCTCAAGATTGTATCTTTACCATACATCTTCTTTTGATAATTGTGGCATTGACTTGTTTTGGGATCCTTTATTATCATCCTTGGTAAGCTAATGACTTTCTCAGCCTCTTTAGAACCTTGGCCTGACCTTTTGCAAGGGGCCAAAATTCTATCCTTGAGTCTCAATCTCAGAGCCTGAATATGAAAGGAATAATAATAAATGAAAAAAGAAGCTTGAGAGAAAATTATTGTCCTGCTAACAGAAATATTTTTCTGCTGCCAGAAACTTTGCATATTATTTTATTTTAAAATTTCTATTGTGACTCTTCACCATCAATCTTTCATTCTGGACTACTGGGCATATTTTAGGTCTTGATGCCTTGCTAACACTTTAAAAATGTCACCATATACCCTGGATACTATATGTTATGGGTTAAATTGTGAAGTCCGTAAGTTATATGTTGAAGTCCTAACTGCCGGTGCCTTAGAACCTGACCTTACTTGGAAATAGGGTCATTGTAAATATAATTAGTTAGAATGAGGTCATACTGGAATAAGGTGCATTCCTAATCCAATATAACTGATATTCTTATTTTAAAAAAAGGGAAACTTGGACAGAGAGGCAAACATGAATGGAGATATGTGATGAGTGGAGTTATGCTGTCACAGTCAAGCAACCATCAGAAGCTAGGAGAGAGAAATCATTCCCCAGTGTCTTCAGAGGGATCTTGGCCTTGCTGAGAACTTCATCTCAGACTTCTACTTTCCAGAACTGTGAGGTGATAAATTTCTGTTATTTAAGCTGATCGGCTTGTGGCACTTTGTTATGGCAGCCCTCGCAAACTAATACACTCTCTTCTAAGTGCCTGCCTGGAATTCTTCCTTGTATAGTTACACATTTGTACTTCTCTCTAGAACAGTATTATGTAACAAATTTTTTGGTCATGATTAAATGTTCTATGTCTTCTTTCCAACTATTAGTCATTAGCCAAACTTCACTATTGACCACTTGAAATATGGCTACTGCACCTGAAGAACTAAACTTTTTGTTTTATTCAATTTTAGTTAGTTTAAGTTTTCATTAAATGGCTACACATGGCTAGCAGTTACCATATAGGATACTATAGCTCTAGAACTTGCCCTAGCCTACTAGGAGTGCCTATTTCTAAGTCCTGGTCCTACCCAGTTTGCATTTAGCCTTCTGTGATTAGCAATATTTTAAGATCAAATAAGCAGTGAATCCCCAAATTTATCATTTAGGCTGCTAAATCCTATTGTTAAGCCTTTACTCAATGGCTCGATTTCAACCAAACTGAAGGAAACAGCTAGCTTTTGGAGGATGTTGGATTCTAGTCCATACCCTATTTTCTTTCATTAGTCACTTTGATTCTGGTGAGGCTGCTATCAGATTTTCCAGTTCTGCTAGTGGTTTTCTTATAAATCCTGACTATGGATTAAGAACTAGACAGTAATTACTGATGAATTTCAGCTTGGTCATGTGACCAGCCATAGAGATTACTCATTACTTCAGTGACCTTAGTTAACATTGAACTGGTGCCCAGAATATACAAAGCTCTAACTCATATTTTCAATTATGTCTGACTTTCATGACTCAATCAAGCAGTATAAAGACTTGTAGTCTTCCTTTATACTCTTATTTTCTGATTCTTGTCACTAGAAAGTGATTTTTTTTCCCCCATGGCTCTGTTTTTTTGGACTAAAGCTTTCCCTAACATTTTCACTGGCTGGGATATTTATTCCTATTATTTGAAAAGTTTGCTCAATTAAGTTTTCTATTATAATGCCAAATATGCACACATCTTTTTAATGAGAATGGAATTTGTGCCTCTGCATTATAATTTCAAAATAAATCAGGCTTTCAGTCATGGTGCCTGAATTAGAGTATCTGTCAAATATCTTAGGAAATTATTTCTTGACCCTTTACTCTGTTTTTTTGACTTTTGTATTGTTTTACATTAATAATCTTATTTTTTCCATGTTACATAATTTTGAAAATTTTAATTTTAATTTGAACATCCTGGGGGCATTTAATTTCTTTGCAAGGAAATTGTTTAATTAATATTTTATTTTAAAAGAATGGCATTAAAAACAAATTGAAATGGATGGGCTGCATGAATGTACTTTTTATCAGCTTAGAATAATATAACTAATATAAAAAATAATGATAATACCAAATGCTGGTGAGGATGCAGAGAAACTGTATCACTTATACATTACTGGTGGGAATGGAAGATAGTGTGGTTACTATGGAAAATAGCTTGGCAGTTCATTTCAAGACTAAAAATAAGTTCACCCTGGCGTCCATCAGTTGCACTCTTGTGCATTTATCAGACAAAATGTTAGACTTATTGTCACACAGGAATTTATACACAATGCTTATAGTAAATTCATAATAGACCCAAACTAGAAGCCACTGTTAAGTAAACTATGGTATATTAGTCCCATGGAATACAATTCAGCAATATAAAGGAATAAACTATTGATTGATATGTGCAACAACATGGAAGACTCTCCGGAAATTACACTGATTGAAAGAAGCCAATGTTAAAAGAATATATACTGCACAATTCTATTTATGTTGTACTTAGGAAATAACACAAAGATAAAGAACAAATGGCTCTTAGTGATTGCAAGCCTTAGTGGTTACAGAGCGAGGGTCAGGAGGTGGCAAGGGAATGCACACAATGGGGGATGGGAAGCCACATAGTGGAAGGAAGGAGATGGGTGTGGCTATAGAGGGTTCTGGGAGTGTGTTACGTGGTAATGGCACAATTTAGTATGTTGATGGTTGTGGTGGCTACACAGGCTATGCTTGCAATACAACTGTGTAGCAGTTGGGTGACTGGATAAAGGATAATATTATTAACCAGTGTCAAAAATATAGAAAAAAGAGCATTTTGGAATCTGAGATGGCTAATTACAAGTTTCATCTTGGATATGTGAGTTACTCTCCCTGGAGGACAAGCAGACAGAGTTGGATGGTTGGCAGTAGATACGTAGATCTGAAATGCAAAAAGAGAGCAAGACTCAAAATATAAATTTGAAAATTATTAACATATTTATGTATATTACATAGAATATGTCTGTGTGTCCAAGAAGAGACTACTGTCCTCAATACTGTGGCATGTATACACTGAGAGTAATTAAAATATGGGTAGTATTTAAATTATAGTCTTGCTACAGCTATGGAAGATATACGTATACACATGTGTACATTCTGTTTTCATTCAGGGCTTTTCAATTTACCCTGGACTTGAGACTAGCAGTTTTTAGTGATCAAAATGCCAATAAAATTCTGAAATTTCTTTGGCCAGTATGGCCAAAATAATCAACATATTCAGTCCAATCGTTATCAAAATATGAATGACATGCCTCAAAGAAATAGAAAAAAAAAATCCTAAAATTTATATGGAACTAGAAAAGACCCAGAGTAACCAAAACAATCCTGAGCAAAAAGAACAAAGTTTGTTACATCATATTATCAGACTTCAAATTATACTACAAAGCTTAATAAACAAAACAGCATGATACTGGCATAAAAACAGACATATAGACCAATGGAAGAGGATAAAGAACTTTTAATGCATTTTCAAGCATTCTACTCTTTCATAGCACTTATCACAGTCTTAAATTGTTTAATTACTTGTAAAATTATCTGTATTTTTTCCTGTAATTCTTAGTAGTCTATAACATTCATGATTAAGAGTTGAATCTGCTTGGCTGTTCCCTGATCAGTAAACTAGCATAATCCATGGTGGTGCAGATAGATAGATGGGTGGATAGATAGATAAACATTATTTATATCTGAATAAATAAATGAACAAGTTTGTAGAGTTTCTCGTGTATTGGCCTAAAAGTCAAGACCACTGGTATATAGTCCTTATTGTGAAACCAACAGGCCATTGGAACTAGAGCAAATATTCCCTTTTTTTGGTGTTCTTATATGCAGAAAGAGAAAGTGGGAATCTGTGTTTTCTGCTTCTTTTTATCTCCAAATAGCCAAACTGTATCCAGCAATCATGGTTGGAGCCTCAGAATATATTGAATAGGTCTGTAATGAAGGGGGCATGTGTTTATTAGTATCATTGTGATACTGGTGTATGTTGTTTCTATTTTTGTACATTTAGAAGTAAATTTAGGATTATATCTTCTGTCTCTGTGTCTCTCTTCTGCAAGATGATTTAATAAGATAAAACTCATACCCATTCATCATAAACAAACTGGATTTGTATGTGTGTGTGTTTATCTATCATCTAGGCCCCCATCTTGAAGGGCACCTTTGCCCAATAGGATAAATTTTACTGTGAGATTTAAATGTAACACTTCTCTAGTCTATGTAATTCATTCTTTGTATACAAAGTCAAAGGCTATTGATTTTATTGAGATTATAAAAATTATAAAGTAATCCAAATAGTTATTTTATAGGCCATAGTGGTCCCAGCAATGAGAAATTTGTCATGTTTATTAATCTCTCTGGAAGACAATGTAATAAAATTGACACCCTAGTCTTTATAAGTAAATATTCAAACAGGTCAACACCAGTCAGAAGGTAACACACTTCTTCCAAATTACTAATGTTTATCTTTCACTGCATTTTCATTTCTATGTGTGGTATCTTCTATCTTACCAAAGTCTTGTTTCTTTTATGTTATAGATCACAGATATTGGGCTAATAGTTTTATAAAGTGATACTTCTTGCTTTAAAATTGGTTTTACATTTACAGTACATTTTTAGAAACCTGTATGAGCTCAAATATTTAGAATTGTTGCTAACCTCAGAATTAAACAGGGTCCTCCCATTAAAGGACTAGGAGACATTTTTTTAATTAGGTTCTGGAAACTGGTTGGATCTACTCCCCAAATAGCTTGAGATTATTTATCCTTGAACTATCCAGCAGTTGAGAAATAGACATGAGGAAGACACCCTTCCCACAGAAAGGAAGGGGCATTAGCAATAAATGGTGGTGGGCCTCTGGCTTTCCAACTGAACCACTTAGCCTCAATTGCAAGAGTTTGAGGTAAATGCATGCTATTTTTCAGCTCTCTCTTCAACTCAGGACCTGAATAAGGGAGCAGGTTAACCAGCAAAATATAGGATAAAGAGCATGTATTTTGAAGATAGGTAGAACAAGTTCAAATCTTGATATTCCTATTTTCTGCTGTGAGCTTTAATGTCCTTATCCACATATTGAGGACAATGCTATATACTCACTGGGATGTTGTAAGATTAAACAGGATGATGTCCTATATACATTTCCTGTATAATTGTTTACTAAAGTGTTGCTATTACTATTATTATATATGGACTCCAAGATGTAACTTTCTAAAGAAAATCATGTTTCAATGACATGTATGCAGTAAGGAGAAACAAAGAGTGTTTTACCAACTGTAGGATCATTGCTTCTTTGTTCTGTGTTCTTTATTCTATCCTTGCCAGGTGTTATGCCATCTCTTCCTCTCAACTAGCTGCTCAATAAATAATGTGCATGCAGCCACACTTACTAGTACTAGTAAATACTAGTAGTTTACTAATATTTACAGGACTAGTAAAGGAGTAAAGTCAGGAATTAACCTGGACTTCTTGATTTATGGTTCCATGCCCTTTCTACTTTGACATAGACTTTTTTCCTGCTAACTAAAGGGAATAATTGTAGCCATTCACAATTTCAAATGTAATGCTTCACAGTATATACAGAATAAATATTTGCAACGTAGAAGATGACAGAGTTATTATCTAAGGAAGGAAAAAAAAGATGAGTAAGTTTCGGGAGACTGATAACAAGTTCAGTGTTGGAAATCAATATGAGGCTCCCTGAGCTATATACATGAAGAAAGCTATAGTTTGTTTGCAATATGAAATT